CGTCACATGACAACAGTTTATGGATTTTCAAATTAATCACCTTAAAGCAGGATGGTCGTCACCTGCGCACGCGCGGGTATTGAGTCCCAAGAGACGATAACAACACACAATAAAAGCGCAAAGGCTCATGGGTAGACGCTTGTTTGTAAACAATGACACGCTATGGCCATCAAACGCAAGCGCAGGTGACTACTCCCCCGCTTTAAATCTACCGTGTATGTATCGCTTATTGTCTGCCAGTGAGTTGGTATACTTCTTTCAAATAATGCCCGCCCTCTAGCAACGAAATGCATATTGACTTCTGTTCGTCTTGGGGTGAACGCTGTCCTGAAGCATTTACCAAGGTGACGTCGACTCGGAGGCAGAGCATTTTATTCTCATTTGCTCTTCCCAGGAGGTTTTCGGCTTAAAATACATTTTCTTGACTTTGAGTACGGAATCCTAACACAGTACTTATCAATATAGTTGAGTTAAATATTACAACTCTGTCTGATCGTGTGGTACATTTGTCGTTCACAAATTACGACATGTCTAAAACCAGTGTTTGATATTGACGGATGACAACATATCAATTATCGTCGCTGTGATCGGCGTTCCTTGCATATCTTACGTCACAGACGCGCTTTGCCACTATAGGGCGTGACTCCTCCACATAGAGTATTAAGGGTTTTTATAAGTGTATATTGAAGTTGACAAGTTAACATTGACGAATATATCAATCACTATCAACTATGTAAGTATTGTACTTCTATCCAAGGTGATATTAATTATATAAACATTCACTTACCAATATTGTGGTTATATTTAGTGTAAGACTAGCTCCCAACTTAGTATCGTCTGCTTCTCTCGAGATTCGACCATTCATATCGTCTGCTTTTGTGTAAAAAAGGAATATACATTTTTGAGTTATGAAAGAATACGTACTCTGGTTTCATCCTTAGCATAGCTATCTTATTATCAACAGGCAATGATGACATTACGGAGGTGTTCCGGATTTGACAAGAATAAATTTATTTGTGGAGACGTTTAGAAGAGACAGAAGCCTTGTCGATCCCAGACAATTTTTAGTGGAGAAGCGCTAATGGACAACACGTGAATTTCGCCTGCAGTGCGCCAATGGGATTCTCCACGTCATCTTATATACACCAGAACAGCTGCGACAGTACTGTTAGCCGTCTGTCAACATTCTGTATTTGCTCCACAAACATTGAAAGTTTCGTTATGGCCTGGAATATTTGTCATCCCTACGGAAATTAGATTGTTTTTTTTTTTTAAATTGCGTGAAATGGACTGGACGTTTGTTGAACAGTTGCGCCGAAAAACAAACAGTTACCACAAATCTCATCTTCTGGTAACAAGGCTTCATTGGTGTAAGAAAGTTATACAAGTTATTATAACAACCTAAACTTAAAATATGACACACGCGGGAGGAAGCCTATTATAAATTAGGTTAAATAAAAAAACAACAAAAAAAAACAGTAGACTAGGACATTCAAATTTAGGACATCAATACACTCAAAACACAATTTGCGAATAATCAAAGGTGTTCGCTCCGTAATATTTAAACCCCGTTATGACGGCGTAACATGCTCTCATCTTATCTGTTTTGTACTACATTGTTTTTTGTATTACGTAATAGTTTCGCCGGTGATTATATCTCTCCCCTTTAAGGGAGTTTAAACTTTAACAATCCTTTCACGTCGAAGTAACGTGTTTCCATCTTATTCTGTCGTACGATATGTCTGCGC